AGTCTGTTGCTAGATTCCCCAGAGTTATATAAGTAGGGAAAAGTATTTTCTAACCAGTCTAGACTTTCTCCGTCCTGGGCTTAGTGATGTGCGATATCATTCAAGTATGTGGACATATTTGTATAGTTTTCTTTTTAATTAGTGTTTGGGTTTTAAGTGTGAGTTTTTTATGTCTCATGTATATAATTGATTTTTTAGTCTGTAAATAAAGTATTCTTCTTCTATAGCAGGGGTAGTCTATCCGGCATTTTTTTGGTTTTAACTCTGTTTCAACACACCTGATTCCAATCAGCATGTGATTAACAGGCTTCTGCAGAGCCCAGTGAGCAGCTGAACAGGGGAATCAAGTGTGTTGAATCAGAGAATAGACTAAAATGTGCTGGGTACCAGACCTCCAGAACACCCCCGTTCTAGAGGGACACTCATAAATGCTGGTCTGAAAATGTTTTTTACCACTTAAAGAGAAACTATGCAACCTTTCATACATTTAAATCATTTTCTTGAGCCAATAGGGCTGGGCGATATGGAACAAAACTTATTTCTCCATATCTTTTAGCTGAATTCCGATATACAATAGATGTCCCGATATTTATCTTCCTGTAAAATATTTACAAAATAACTCCCTTTAAGCAGTCTTGAGGAATTGTATACATGAATTCATCAGCAGACTAAATGCATGAAAAGTATTGAGTCTTGTCAAACATTTACCTTAGAATCATAATCTGAAGGGTTTTATTGCCATGTGTGTGAGAACTCCCAACATTAGGAAAACGCTGTGGTACTTAGTGCAAAACGAAAGACAAAAAAAGAGGTAAGTAATTATAGGAAGTAAAAGTATAATACTAAAATAATAATGGCAATACTTAGAGAAACGGCTCCTATATACAAGACAGTCTAGGTACTACAACATTGGTTTAAATAGCGCCAATAATGAGACGCAGTGACTGGAGTGGCTCATGGAGCTGTGCTGCGCACACACCCTGATTCAATCAGAACGCACGCTTCGCAAACTCCGGCGCTGCACCGTCAGACTGAAGGCAGAGATAAGTACTGCCTTCTCCGTGATTAAAGCATATAAAAGGTTTTATAACATTTTTCAAAATTGAGATATTAGCTTCTATTTTGGGATCATGTATGCAAGTGCGTTCCAGTCAGTGCCACTGCCTTATCATGAACCTCAACGCAACTCATGTTACTGCAGAATTTGTTATTCCAGTCCGTGTGGCAGCAGATCATGGGCTCAGCCAGATAATGAAACAGCAATCTGAGGCAAAGTCAACCTCGTGGCTATAGCTTTTTAAGTTACTCTCTATAGAGACATTTGATTACACACAAGCAAGTGACCAGTTCAAGTTTATGCAGAGCAGAAGGAAGTTGAGAGATTATGCACTGGCCACAAGTGGAATCATTGAATTGCACTGTTACCCAGGGCACTCCAAATATTCATGATAATAAATTAAAAGGAACATGTATATATCTTCTTCTTCTTGGTGTTTAACGGTGGTTGGCACCCAGCTTAATGGAGCATTACCGCCTCCCAACTGTTCCGGAGTGTGGGCCAGACAGTGAGCTCACAATCTACATAGAATCCTACACCTCCACTCTACCTTCCCTCTCATTAAATCCCCATTCCTTCTTTCCCCCTCTGTTCCCATTTTCTCTCCCCTTTCTTATCAACAGCTAAAAGAACTATTCCACTGTAAACCCTAAAGTTCTAAATGATCAAATATATTGAGTAGATAAAACTCATAATTTAAAAAACTGTTTTTAGAACTCAAATGTGTTGAGCTTGTTCAACATTTTTCTTGTTTTAAGTACATAGAACTCAAACGTTTTAATTAATCTGAACTATTTCTTTTTTTTAAGAAAACATAACTTAATTTTAATGAGTAATATTAACCAAAGAAATATCGATTTATTATGTTATGTTTCTATATTATTCCATTCATCTTTACGTCAACCCTAAAGTGTGTCTGATAAACAGACTTTTATATTAGTTTAAATATTTGTGGATTTACAAGAAAAACAACCACAAACTAGCAATTGTGTTGGATTTCAGGAACAATAAACAACTGGTGGGCGTGGTGCATTGTGGGTAGTCATATTTTCAGTTATTTTGCTCTATTTTGGGGTGTTTATGCATGTTTATTGTGGATGATTGTTGTTCTCAGTTATTATTTCGTTCAGTGTTGCAGATGTGATGTTACTTTTTGTATCATGTTGGCACCATAAGTGAGGAGGTTGGTCAAAGTAATGCTGTACGGCTGTGCTGTCCCATTGTTATTAATACTGTGGTTGTTCACACCAGATACTCTTGACTTGACTTTGAGTGTTCCACTTTTATTGGCTGTTAGCATCTAGGGGTGTGTGATTCATGATCTGGTGTTAATTACTGCCTTGACCAGCCTGCCACATTGTCACTTTTAAGTAAATTCAGCTTATTTGGGTTAGGGTTTAATAGGTCCATTTAGAGTTCGTATAAGTTATATTATTAAGTTAGTAAAAACATGTAATAAAGTTCAATCAAAATGAAATATGCAAGTTTAGTGAAATAAAGCTTTGTAAGTTGCTTACGTGCTAAGTTATAGGTTGGATGTAGTTAAATGCTTTGATTTTATTCAGGTCATATTTTTTAAATTATGGTTAACTTATAGTTTTTAGATAAGTTAACTTAAAAATTATTAGGTAATCAGTTTCCTCATGAATTTTGAGTTCAGTGAACTTATTCGAGGTTACAGTGTACAGTTGAACTTTTGAGTTGATTGGATGAGCAATTTTAATTTAATAAACTTCAAATGTATGAGTAAAATTTATTAAGAAATTTTATTTATGAAAACTTAAAATTTTCAGTATCAAAACTCAAAAGAATTGAGGCAATTGATTGCCTCAAAATTTTTGAGTTCTGGGAACTTATTCGGGTTTACAGTGTATCTACAGCCTATGATAAACCCCTACACCATTAACTCATTCACTGCCAGCCGTTTCCTGATCGCTAACGGCCTTCGTTGCCAGCATTTCTCACAGTTTTTACTGTTTTTTTGAGTCACAGAACGTTGCGCGCTAGGATTGTGTCGATGCCAAAACAACCAAAACAAAGCGGAGACTCACCTCTTACATCAGGAAGAATCCGTGTGTTTTTAGCGTTATCCATTCTTTAGTAATCCGTTGTTGAATTGTGATCGGCAGACGCTTTTCCGGTTCGCGCCTCACTTTTTTTTACAGGAACGGTCCAAAACGATCTCCTAATACATGGATGGTCTGCTTCCTGGTCATGTGACATGTGACATATGTGGATGAAGATCGGCTTCAGGGCTGAGATGTTTGTTCTCTCAGCGCGGGGGCTCGTTCTGATGCTCAAACAGTAAAAAAAATGCAAATGACGACTTTAGTCGTCATCGGCAGTGAACGGTTGGATCTAAAATGATGACTTTAGTCGTCAATGGCAGTGAATGAGTTAAGAAACTCCACCATATCCCTCGCCTGCACCCTACTACTCGCCAACACATTCTTCAGAGTGAACTCCTCAATACCCCTCTCCCTCATCCTATTCCGCAGAATTTCCCTTTCCACAAAATAACACACCACAGAATTACATGCTCTACCATCTCTTCCTCCTCCTGACACACTCCACACAACCCAGTCTCATGTTTACCAATCATCTTTAGAGTTTTGTTCAATGAGCAATCTGTGGGCGAGGCCTTTTTTCTGAAATAGCGCCCCCCATGACCATTAAAACTGTCAGCCCCAAGCCGTGCTTTATCTGAGAACTATGAAATTTGGTACACTAATGTAGTGCCTTGGGATCTACTAAAAAGTTTCTTGGAGCCAAGGTCAATGTCACACAGGAAGTTGGCCATTTTGGTCCAAGTACTCAATTTAGTGGTTTTCGAACACTTTTTTTTTTACGGATAAACGGAGAAGGAAGTGACGCCACCATCAGCGTCAGCCTGAGGAAGTTTGCAGCCGCAAACGAAACGTAGCGGGAAAACAGGTAAACAAAACTGCTCTGTGTTTTAAAAAAGAACTACAGCATGGTTTCGCACACTTTGTTTGGAGAGTCATGCCCCAACACCCTTTTCACCAATCACCTTCAAACTTCTGCTATATAGTCTTAAGACATAGGGGGAAAAAATTCAACCATCGGATTTTTCAAAAGTTCAATTCAATTCAATTAAAGTTTATTTATAAAGCGCCAAATCACGACAAGAGTCGTCTCAAGGCACTTCACATAATAAGCATTCCAATTCAGGTCAGTTCATTAAGCCAATCAGAAATAATGTTTCCTATATAAGGAACCCAGCAAATTGCATCAAGTCACTGACGAGTGTCAGTGACTTTACAGCATCCCTCATACTAAGCAGGCATAAAGCGACAGTGGAGAGGAAAACTCCCTTTTAACAGGAAGAAACCTCCAGAGAATCCTGGCTCAGTATAAGCAGCCATCCACCACGACTCACTGGGGATCGAGAAGACAGAGCAGGCACACACACACACACACACACACACACACACACACACACACACACACACACACACACACACACACACACACACACACACACACGCACACACACAAAGACAAAGTAATGTTTCTATGGTTGCATTGTGATGTCTTAGTAAATATTCTATTTGGTGAGAGATAAACTTTATTGTATTTATCCTAGTGGATCTATACTTAAATGGGTAAACTAGCAGTAGCACATCCGACGTCAAGGAAAGCAAAAAGTTATTATCAGGAGAGGGAGAATGTTTAAGTGGTTAGCAGCAGTGTGCTAGACGATGACCCCCTCCATGAGGCCACCACAGCTCAGCAGAACATCGTTGTAGCTTCTTCTGGGGAGAAAAACACTTAGAGAGAAAATAAAGTTAACAGCTGTGTTACACCCCTCTTTTGGCTCAGCTAGCGATGGGAGGGGAATAAACATAAGAAGGACGAGTTTAACGCAAAGTAACCCTTATTGGGGAGAAAAGGCTTGATCAAGCAAACCAAACTCAAAGTGTCCTTGTCTTTTCAACGGTTTTATTAAAAAGAAAAGAAAAACCAAAAGAAGGGGCCAAAAAACCCTTACCAAGAAATTAAATTTAAAAAATTAATTAACTGAAAATGTCCAGAGGACCAACCACTCTATAAATCCTGAAATAAACTACTTTTACTTAACTAAAGTTGTCCAAATACCAAAAATGGCTCAGCAAACAGAGACTTCAACAGGGGAAAACCCCACCCGGTAAATTACCAAAGATGGTCTGGAAGACTCACCAAACCCAAAAATTACCAGTTAACTCAAATTTATCCCCAAAACACACAAAGTCCTAAAGTTACTTCTTCACAAGAAGCAAACAACAAGCTGGTTTAAACCACAAAACCATAAGACAAACACCAAGGGGAGAGAACACACATTGCTGCCGCAACCCACAAACATTTCTCTCCCCTAATGAGCTCCAGGTGGCCGCTATTGAAGAGCTAGCTGATGAGGTGCAAAGTCCTAGCTGGCGTGACTGCTGCTCTGGCGCTGTCCATGGTCCTGAAGTTACGGACAGCTTTCCAAGGAGTTGTTGTCCAAAGTGCTGCGCTGCTGAACTGCTGGTCATGAAATGGAGTGCAGCACACCATTTGGCTCCAAAACGGCAGCGGCCGAAACAAGCTGAAATTGCAGAAAATAATACAGTTAAAGAGCAGATTGTAGAAGAAAGCAGTAGAGTGTGAAAAGTGGTCAGTGTATCCTCCAGCAGTCTAAGCCTATAGCAGCATAACTACAGAGATAACTGGATAATCTGTCCTAATTAGATGGAGGCATGTTGGAGGCAGGGCAAGGGGGAGCCGTCTTTACCGACTGTACACTCCACCTGCCTCCACTCCCCCACTTGTCCAGATTGAGGCTAACATCAGATTTTAACCATAGGCCCTATCAAATAAAAATGTTTTAAGCCTATTCTTAAAAGTAGACAAAGTGTCTGCCTCACGGACTACACCTGGGAGCTGGTTCCACAGGAGAGGAGCCTGATAACTAAAAGATCTGCCTCCCATCCTAATTTTAGATATTCTGGGAACCACCAGTAGACCTGCAGTCTGAGAGCGAAGTGCTCGGTTAGGAACATATGGAACAATCAGATCACCGATGTTTGATGGAGCTTGATTATTAAGAGCTTTATATGTGAGAAGAAGGATCTTAAAATCTATTCTGAATTTAACAGGTAGCCAATGTAGGGAAACTAAGACATGAGAGATATGATCTCTCTTTTTAATTCTCATCAGAACTCTAGCTGCAGTATTTTGGACAAGCTGAAGACTTTTAACTACATTCTGTGAGAGTAATGAATTACAGTAATCCAGTCTTGATGTAATAAATGCATGGACTAGTTTTTCAGCATCACTCCTGGAAAGTATGCTTCTAATCTTAGCAATATTCCGAAGGTGGAAAAAGGAAATCCTACAAACTTGTGAAACCTGGGATTTAAATGACATGTCCTGGTCAAAGATAACACTAAGGTTCCTTACTTTGTTCTCGGAGATTAGTGTAATGCCATTCAGGTCAGGCAATTGGCTAAGCAATTTCCTTTTCTGGATTTCTGGTCCAAAGATGAGAACTTCCATCTTGTCTTGATTTAAAAGCAAAAAGTTTAGAGTCATCCAATTTTTAATGTCCTCAAGACAAGCCTGTAATCTACCCAACCGATGTCAGAGCTTCTTATGCCCTGCATTAGCTACTGATAGAAAACGGAGAAATTACTGGATTGGAAAAGCCTGTCACAAGTCCACGAGAAATTGTCAAATTAGTATTTATGGACACACCTAGCTTTGCTGGTGACAAGGAAGGCTGCTGTTGGTTTAGAGTCCAGGAAACAGCAGAGCACACCTCGGCTAATAGAAGCCAACATCAACGTTCCAGAGCAAACAGAGTCAGCAGTAGAATTGTGTTGCTGTGTTGCTGTTAGCCAATCAGAGGTGAGATGTTCAAATATCAGGAAATAAGACTCCAAATGTTCGTTGTCTGAAGCTATTTCTCCTCTGGCTCACTTCTACTTACCCTTCCAGTTCACTTGTAACGGTGCATTGCAGCACAGCATGAGAGCCAACCAAAGCACCTTACAGAAATTGCATAAAAAAACAAATTAAAAACAGCTCAATAAAATAAGGTAAACTCAAGCAGTAGAAGCAAGGCACACCAACAATCAAGCAGGCCAAAGCATAAAGAAATGTAAGTGTCCAAAAGTCAAATAATAAAAGTGCGTCTTCAGTCTTGACTTGAAGACTGATACCATTGACGTCTGCCAAAGGTCAGTTGCAACATACACAAAAGCCCACTCCCCCCATTGATTTATAGTTGGAGAATGCACTGAAACGTAGGGCATAAGAAGCTCTGACATGTAAGGGCGTGTGAGGCCATTCAATGCCTTATAGACAAATAATTTTAAAAATCTTGACACACCCTGAAAGTCACGAGAAGCTAGTGAAGACATGCCAAAATTGGTGCAATATGACAATGTGTTCGTTAAAAATTTAACAGCAGCATTCTGCACAGCCTGCAGTTGGCTCAAAACTAAAACAGGAGCTCAGATGAGCAGCACATTTGCATAATCCAATAGTGCTTACACATTAGCGTCAGGACGGTCGGGTACAGAGCCATTATTCGGTTTCACACTATGAGTTTTCCATTCTGAGGTGGTTGTTTATTTCACTCCAATCAGTCCGTAGTGTCACCTCCTCACCAGAGGTTTAACTGGGACCGAGATGACACTTCTCTTCTTCTCAGAACCGAACAGTCCTTTTGCTATATAATCGATCAGATGTTCTTAGTTCTGCTTTTCACACAGATTTCTAGTTCTTGTTATCTGTTTTTAAATTTAAACTATGCTCTCTGAGAGAGAAAATTTACTGATAACACCCTGAAAAAGAACATTTGTTGATAAAAGTCAAACACAAGCATTTCAGCTTCTGCCATAAATGTGCATTCTATAAGCAACTTGTGCATTTGTACTGTGTGAAACAAATGCATTAATAACACTGTAAAGCATAAAATTGAAAATTATCCTTTCAAAACCCAGGAGGCATTCTGATAGCTACACAATCACACTTAGAACAGAACCTGCAGGATTCACACACACTCAAAAACCCAGATACACGCCCCTTTTCACACACACACACACACACACACACACACACACACACACACACACACACACACACACACACACACACACAGAGAGAGAGAGAGAGAGAGACACACATATACCTTCACACACACACAGATATCCACCGAAGCACAGTTCACAATAAGGTTTTTAACACTTTGGCACAGATTTAAAACCACAATGCAGCACAGACGTCCGATGTCTGTGATGGGACAGCCGACATCAATATCTCAGATACCAGCAACGAACGATAACAACACCACAGGACCACGGAGATCAGGCAAGCCTGCACAATCCGAAATGGGACGCAGCCCACAAAACCCACGAATACACAGACCACTGAACTACAAGGGGTGAATTTAGAACGGTTTGGGTTCCTTTAGCCAATTATAACGATGATTAACTTTTGGGTACCTTTGCTGCACCATGTAATATTAAAATAAAACAAGCGTCAGTGAGCTTACATAGTGATTTTGCACATCCAACCCTATTACGACCCAAATTCACTTTCTCTATTTGTCGTGGGGTGTTTGTGTATGCGGACACAGACTACTTACAACCTCCCTCGCGTTTACTCTGTTCCCTCAGAGGCAAGCGGGAGCCCAGGACAAGATCCGGCGGCTATCAGTCCAGCCCTCAGCCGGGGCCCGAAACATCTTTCGTGCATGGATGGCAAAAATCACTACCAGCGTAAAATCACACTCTCAACCAGTTATAATAAAAAGGGTGCAATTTAATTTAGGTATTCACTCTCCCCCTGAGTGGCAGACTCGCCCTGAGTCCGAGCGCGAGAGCCTGTTAATGGAAGTTCATCTGTGGAGCTAAACAGCTGGCCGATGGGGCAATTCTCAGCCCCCCGGACTTTGATGAGGCAGTGGCACCGTGCGGCTCTCCGAAGGCGAACTCCCACTGAAGGGCTCTGCTCTCCTGGGTTTCAGCACCAATAATGTTGGGTAATTTTTATGTTACTCCCATATAACCTCAAAGAAAGTTCAGAACACACACAGAGGGATTAGATTGATAATTTGGTAAATTGTAATCCTGCCAACAACAAACAACAACAAATATGTTGCAAAGGGTGAGAGAAATCAAATACACACCAGAGACAGAGGTCAGTGTGCTTGCACACTCAGGCAAAGCTTTAGAGCTCATTTTATTTAGGAAGGCACACCCAGAAGTTTACACAATTCTTCAGAATCAGCTGACCAGGGTAACCTAATCAACAGATTGTTGGACCTTTATCTTGTCTCAGGAAGTTACAGATAACAGGAGGGTGATCAAAGAGGTCTTTCTTCACCACTCTAAAATGTGATAAAAGTGATGACCCTCCGTTTAAACAAACACCTACACTGTTACATCAATAACCCTGTGACATCAAAATCAGTGATATCCATCACTTTCTTCTAGATATTTCCTGCAAATTAGCAACAAAATAGCCATTTTCGCTCCAAACCGTTCTTTGGATTGACGTTGTTTCATCTGTCATCAAGGATATAAATGTTACAGATACATTGAACATTACTGGCATGTAGCGCACCTTGTAAGATCTCTGACTCTCATACAGAAGACCTGGGTTCAATTGCGGGTGTGAAAATAGTTTATTTGGAGTTTCATTTTTACATTAATGATATATTTTTTACAGTTATATGATGCCCAAATTTTTATTTGAGACTCACCGAAAGGCATTGAATTCACGGATAAAAAAGATGTGGGTTCAACTTTCATTTTGGAACAATTTTTCAAGCAAGGGAAGGGAACGATCTGATATATTTTATATTTAAGACCATCATTTCTTGTCCATTTTTTCATTTATTTTTGGTTAAACCATTTAGAAATTTCTTGATTTAACCAAACATATGTTTTTAACTCTTATTGCTTGGAGATTTATTATCTTCTCTGTTATTTCCCTTTCTTATATTGTACCTTAATTTCTTTCTCCCATTTTATTTACTCACCATTGTTTTACCTTTCTTTGCTTCTTTTAATTTTTTGCCCCATATTTGATGAATGAAAAATATGAAAATAAATGAAAAAAAAAGTGAATAATTAATAAATAAATGTCTTTTGAAATGAAAACTCAAACACCCTATGTATTTCTGTTTCTTTCATGGTGTCAGACTGGTCGGCTGGATACGGGAGTAGAGCTTGTGGAGAGCGTTGTCTCACAGGAAGTGATAGCGTCGGTGAAACGCTGGCTCTCGGTTTAATCTTGGAATCCCCGAGCGTTCGAGCATCAATGAAGTGACACGGACATGCTGGGTTTTCCAGAAGTAAGTAAGAACACTTACTGTGAGCTGAGAGTTCGTACGATGGAACGGTTGTTTGGAAACTCTGATCATAGATCCGAAGAAACGATGACTGAGTGGTGAGCTGGGGAGGCGACTTCCATATATAGTCGCGGTTCGTGACGTAGGTGCGACGTGGAGGGAATTCCTGCGAGGGGCATGCTGGCAGTTGTGGTCCATGGTGGAGGCCGGCTAGCTGGGAGAGGCTGGTATGGGGACTTGAGTTCTGACACATGGCACTGTACAACAGTATTATCTGACATCTTTAATCCAAATTGCCAAAGTATGGGTATCGTGCTGAAAATTTTTTCTGTGATTTAAAGACCTAGTTTAGATTAAATAAAAATGCTAAATTTGCAATTGAGAAAAAGAGGGAAGAAGACTCATTATATTAAGTGACTTTATTCAGAGATTTTATCACTTTTATCTTACCAACTACTGTTCAATTAACATTTTAAAATCTAAACTGAAGTGATTTGAGTAGCTAGTCTGACATTAGTCTTTGCTAATTTCCTAATTTTTATGTGTTAATTATAAATAAACACTAACACAGAAATGACATCGAATAGAATTAAATTACATATTTAGAAATCTAGCAGACATATTTAGAAATGCATAAATAGTGTTATTTCATGTCCGTCTGTTACCAAATTGATACAGAAACTGGGGCCTAACCCCTTTCTAATTTCATCAAGCACTTCACAGTATTGTGTCTTAACCTTTGACATTTAGGTATAATTCAGATTTACTCAATCTGTACATGAGTGTCAATTTTTTTTCCTGTTGATGTAATATTTCTTTATTTTTAGCTGCTGGAAGAGCCCTTGATTCAACTGATTGGTATGTAGACTTTAAATTTTAAAATTCATACTATGTTGTATTTGATCAAACATTTAATTCTAAGATTGAAGCTGAAGAACAATGCTGAGTTGACCCTTGTTAATTTCACTTATGTTTGTAGTAGTTAAATAGAATGGAATTTCTTGTTTGTAGTACTTGCTGCCTGGTATGTGGAACATCTGAGATCTTTTCAACTGGAGCACAATGGCACAATCACTCTTTTGGAGCAGCAGAAACTTGGTGACGTTTGGCCCTTGGCTTCATACATTGTGGAAGGAAAACGCTTGGTTACACTGAAACATAATGTGATCTCATCTGGAAATGTACTCAAGAACCTTGTTTTTTACCCTGTTCTCCATTATTTTTGATGTATGGCTTATTTTCAGTTACTGTTAGAAAATGACTAAAGTAAATGATGTTTAGATTTTTCTAAAGGGAGAGAAATTTAACAATGACCATTATTTTTTTTTAGGTTGGGAGACATGAAGGCAAAGCTCAGTGTAATTATTGAGGACCACATCGATCCATTAGGGATCCCACCAACCGTAGAGGAGCTGCAAAGAGTATTTAAGGATACCTATGGGATTTCAAATGACTTCAGTCTTCAGTATTTTGACTCAGAATTCAATGACTACTTCACTCTTCACCAAAATGACCAGATACAGCATAAAGACACTGTGAAGGTTGTCATCACCCCAGTTGTCCTTACTTTGACACCTTAAAAAGTTTTGGGAGTTAAATAAAGTATGAACGATTTTGTACTTTTTCTCATAGAACAGGGTCAGATGGTCACATTTAAACATTTTTTAAGTTATTTAACAATTTCAACTTACTTGCCACAGCTCAGGGTTCCCACTCTTTTTTGACACTTTTTCAGCTGCTGCAGTCCGGGTCAAGTTATTACAACTATGGGTGATATTATTTTCATATTGGGATGTATTTTGAAACAGATATGATACTGTACATATTAGCATCTGTATCTGACGCCCACGGTAAAACGGACATTCGACCGAAATGTGACTTTACCCTCTTGCAATTTAACCTTCCCCTCACCCCCATCCTAACTTTAACCAGCTTGCGCATGCAAAGCTCTGATCGTTGACGCGCTCCAGACATCTGCGTACTGAGCACGGCCACAGTAACATTATCAAATTAGGTGTTGCCACCTCAAAAACAAATTTAACACACGATCGTTCATGTCGGCTCATTTCCTTTTATGTTTTCTGTCTTTTATTTGTGCCTGGTGCTTTTCACTGCTGTGGAGCGGAGCGCATCACCTGTTTTGTCCTCTGGTGACTTCACCTCACCGGTGCGGCCGGCACACACTCCGCTGTTTTTGCGGACAGTAGATCTTTTAGAGCTGCAGTTCAAAGGTAACTCATAAGGTGAATATTTATGAAGCCAGGTAGCAGTTCTTCTTTAGGATTGAGGGGAGATGCAGGAAGATGATAAACAGACATGACGGGAAAATAGTCAAATAAAAACAAGTTAGTTTTTGTACCTGGTGGTTGCAACAAACAGACACCATTGAAGGTAAGAAGTGAGGAACAGAAAATGAAATAATTATTTTAATGTTTAGAGCAGCAACTCTGAGAGGCTGCAGGCACATCCTTGAGTTTGCGGCCGCTGCGCAGGGGGAGGGGGGAGATGGCTGAAGCAGGGGAACGGTAAAGATGCAGAAACTACTGTTAAAAGAGATGTGTTTAACTTTGAAAATGTGGGCGCATTTTTAATTGTCAAAAACTCCAGCGAACCAACTGCATATGTTGTACTGCAATTTAAATGAAAACTATTGATGTGTGTTATGACCACGCCAGCCATGTACTTTGATATTTATCAGCTTGTAAAAGTATAATTAGCATGACAACAACTTAGACCTCGGAAATCCAAGACTTTCACAGCTCTATTATTCTAACATTTACAAAATAGATCTTTTCGACTCTCCCTTTCTGCTTTTTTTATTTTATTTTATTTATTATTTATTTATTTTTGACAATATGATAGTTCTGTTTAGTAACTTGGGAGCAGGTCTCCTCCTAACTATATCAAGAGTTTGTGCACATAATCTGGGCTTTTGTTTGTAGAAACATTCTAAATCAAAATGCTAAAGTCAGCGTGCCTTTCTTTGTCTTCCAGACAACAGTGGCATATTAATTGTACCCTGCTCTTAGATCTGCAGACCACTGCCTGCATCTCAAACGATGTTGATCATGTGAAGTGTTAATGACTCGGTCATCCAGGCTGACTGGAGACCAAACTAATTATGCATGTATGAGGAATATGAAACATTCATTCATGATAAGGAAGTAACAGTGACTTGGAGGACTTATTCAAACACATTTTATTTTCTTACAAAAGTGGGAAGCTTGGGTGTTTTTCCTGAACAGTGATGAGAAGCTGCATGAGGGGAACTACTCTTCCTTCCAGCTCAGCTTTTAGGGGAATCACAATACATAAAAAATAAAAAACTTCTCACATTCACAGACGCCCAATCCAAGGTAAATGTCAAAAGGACCCATGAGGCAGCTGGAGCACCTGTGAGAAACAACACAATGCATTTCAAGATTGAAAACCCCGCTGCAAATATCATTGTATCATCTTCATTCCAGAGGCATAAAAGAAAACAAGATGTACACATGTTTCTGCAATCACAGATGATCCGTTTTGTGGAAAACATTCAGGCTGCTTTGTAATAAAATGATACAGAATGTGTTTTTGAGAATAATTCCAGAGTCAAATGGCAACAAAACTCAAAAAAGCAGTCCCAGAGGAAGTACTGTAATGACATACAAAATATAAGCACCGCACTTATGATTTTGACTATTTTACCAAAGGTCACTTTTAACTAAACATATCACAGTGATTTTTTTTGTGCCGCATTTGATAATTTTTTTTCACATTATGATTTCAGTGGCAAGCTCTGCAGAGCTACACAAAGTCACACTCTTTCCCATCCCATTCTATCCAATACATATGCTAATACTCTAGGTCACAGCTGGATGCATAACTTATATTATGAAACCTTTAACTGTTAACTTTATTCAAACCAGTACTATTCAGAAAAATGTACAGGAAGAAGGTTGACTCTTTTCAAAGATCCCAACAACACCAAACACATCAAATCATTATTGTGAAAGAATTAGATGGATGACTACATTATATGAAATTAGACCAACAGTGAAAGGCCTGCAGTGATTAATTTCTCATCACTTTAATTTTATTTGCCGATGCAGACATAGATGAGTCAAGGTGAGAAAATTTTAAATAGAAACAAATAGAATGAGCTGAACCTCTAAAAATGATCAAAAACAAAAACATGTAAGAGAACAAGTTGCCCTCTAAAAGAAGCAGAGAATTATAAACATGGGGACGAACAGACTAATTAAAACTCAGGTGAAACATGCAAGGTTACAGTGAGCAATCACAACAAAGGGAATAAACAGAGGGAGGAATAAAAAGCACTGGAGACAAATTACTAAACGTCAGAGTAATTGCGCATAAGAGCAATACGAAAGTTCGAGCATTACAGAAAAGCAAAAAACAGGATCAAAGGAAACTCCAGAAACAGGTCAAGAGATGGTTTTACATCTGAAGTTATTCTTGTATTAGAAAATTATCAGGAAGATATCACAACATGGTCAAAAAAGAATATTTATATCACACAAGAATGAACTGGCTCTTTCTACCTGTAAGTAGGGCAGAACATAATGGTTCTCAAAACCCTTACAGGGGCTTAAACTGTTTAGAGGACCGACTTATAAGCTGTGGCCATGTTCACAATTCTTTTTTTTTCTGGCCATATGATCATCATGTTTTTGCTGGTCTTCCAATCTTCATCCTTAACAAAGTCGTAAACTAAGGTTCTGGTCATGGTGGAGGTCTAGCTGTTGCTTTCAGAGACCATCTTCCATGTAGCTCTACAACCTCTGGTCACTTTGCTTCCTTGGAACTGCAGCTGATTAAAGTCGGGCGTAAGGACCTGTTCTACTGTGCTGTGGTTTATCGTACACCTGGTCCAAACAGTTCTTTCCTTCAGGAGTTTTGTCACTTTTTATCCTCCACTGTGAAGCTGTCCAGACTGGTGATTGTTGGTGTTATGGAAATGTTATGATTATTTTTTCTTAATCATTGATTCAATCATCTGAATGTCATATGCATTTCTCTATGCCCAAATGCATGCTCATTTATTCAGACAGACCCACACCCACACTCACACAGACATTCCCACACACACACATTTTCTTATCTAATGTCATAAATAAACTGAGAGTTCAGGAGCTCAGGGCAGTAGCCTTGTAGCTTCTGCCTCCTCATTGCAATATGGATACTTGTCTGTCATTTGTTTACTTTTCTCTGGTTGCAGGCAGTGGGTTGTTGATAAAATCCTTCACAGTTGGTGACTTTAACATTCACGTTGATGATCCCTCTGACCACTTTACCCTGAGTCTAAATGCTGACAGTGTGTGTCCTGAGGACGTTTATATTTCGGATCACCATTGCATTTTCTTTAACTTGTCAGTTTCTGCGTCCCCACCTCCTGCTCGCCGTATGGTTAGTTCTCATTTCCTTAATGAGAGCACAGCTAGCAATTGTTCTGCTGCGCTTGATCCACCTTGTTCTTCTGATAACGACACAGATTCCTTAACTTCTCAGTTTAACGAGCACTGCCTCTCCATTCTGGACAACATCTGTCCTGTCAGAACCAGATCAGTTCCTGCAGTGAACCCTACTCCCTGATTTAACGACAGCCTTTGCAGCCTGAAGCGCCAATGCAGAAAAGTTGAGTGTTTGTGGAATAAAACCCGTCGCCACATCCATCTGCTGCAACTAAAGGATCTTCTGACATCCTTTAACTCTGCAGTCAGAGACGCGAGGGTTGCCTATTTTTACAACCTGGTGTCCCAGAGCAAAGGGAACCCCAAGGCGCTGTTTAACACCATCAGCAGTATTGTTTCTCCTGCCTCTCCTGCAGCCTCCATCCACCCTGTTGCAGACTGTGAAAACTTTGTCTTTCTTTGTGGACAAAGTCAATAAGGTTAGATCTAGCATCTCTCCCTCAGCTTTATCTCTGCCTCTCCTGACTCCAACCCGGCCCGTCATCCTAAATAGCGTTGCTACTGTTTCTTTGCCTGAGCTAACCAAACTAGTTAACTCTATGAAGACCTCTGCATGTCCCCTCGACATCTTACCCTCATCTTTGTTTAAAAGTGCTTTTCAGTCCATCGGTCCCAGCATGCTCTCCATAATTAATTCTTCTCTGGTTTCTGGTCAGGCCCCTGCTTACTTTAGGAATGCTGTAATCCACCCGCTTCTAAAAAAACTGAGTCTTGACCCCTCTCTCCATAGCAGCTTCGGACCCATCTCTAAACATCCGTTCATCTCCAAGATATTGGAAAAGGTTGTGGCTAAACTACTCACAGCTGCTCTTGATGAAGATAACATCCATGATAGCTTCCAGTCAGGTTTTTGTAGAGGTCATTCTACTGAAACAGCTCTTCTTAGGGGCTGTAATGACCTTCTGACTCACAGTGATGCAGGGGACTGTTCTGTTCTGGTCTTGCTGCACCTGACTGCAGCCTTTGACACTGTTGACCATCACCTGCTACTGGAGAGGCTGAGAGACTGGGTAGGCCTATCAGGAACTGCTCATTAGTGATTCTCCTCTTATCTTTCTGAGCGCTCCTTTTCTGTGGCCGTCTCCAAGTTTAGGTCCTCCACCACCTCCCTTACCCATGGTGTCCCACAAGGTTCGGTGCTGGGGCCTCTGCTCTTCCTATATCTGCTTCCTCTTCAGCATATCCTGAGCTCCTTCAAAGGAATCTCTTGCCATCTCTATGCAGATGACATCCAACTGCACATCTCCTTTAAGCCCCATGACATGTATAAGCTGCAGCTGTTACACTCCTGCTTAGACTCTATCAAAACCTGGATGGCTGGTTTTACGTCTCTCAGCTCGCTATGAGTGATGTTGTTGAGGGAGCAAAAATGTTAGTGTGTGGGTTGAATAATAACAGAGTGTGTCATGTTCTGTGTCCCTCTGTCCCAGCCTCCTCCAGGTTCTCCTCTTATGTCCCATGATTATTCCCTCCTGCTTTGTTCTTTCCCCATTTAGTTTACTGAATACACCTGCCTTCCCTCCAGATCTCACTCAAACCTGTCACCTGTTCCCCTGATCAACTCCCTCTGTGTTTAAAAGCCCTGTCTTGTCCCTCAGTGTTTGTCGGTCCATCGTTGTGTCTACGTTGTTCTGTTCGCTCCCGAGTTTTGCCCGAGTCAGTGCTCAGTTGTGAGCTTCAGTTTTTGTTTTTGGATCACTTGATCAAGTCTCCTCCTTTAAATAAAGGATTTACTTATTTACATTTGCTCCTGTCTAGTGTGTTCTGCGTTTTTGGGTCCTAACCTCATTCTCAGAGTGACAGACTGTAATCACCGGTCAGCTGTTAAAGGCTTCTCTCCTGCCCTCAATCGGGGAGAAGGTACAGGGTATGGTGGGTGCGAAGGTGTTCATTGTGCTCTCTTGTCCTCGTGTGCTCGGTCTTGTTAGCTGTGTGTTTAATCTCTCGTCTTAGTAAACTTTAGTTCGGATTGACTCGTGGGTAAACTGACTTTGGCTTGGATTTGGACTTGGAATTTGTATGAGCGTCCCTGCTTAACAGGACTGCTCCCTCTTAGAGTTTAGATTTAGATTAGAACCTTTTCAGTTTGCATTCCCAGCCCCTTCTGGGCTGACACTTTTAGTTTTCCCTTTTGTGTATATTATAGTTGTAAATACATTTTGGCGCTTCTTTCTGTAAATAAATCCTTGGTACAGCGACACTGCACAGAGCTGGGCATCTGGAACCGGGAGACAGGCGAGGCAGAAGCCACTGAGGCCATCCTGTGGCCGAAAAAGGGAAGCTTACCAGCATTCAAACAATTACCTCTAAAGATGCAGCCTCAGCAGCGATTCTTCCATAAGCCTCGTGTCTCTCCTCATCAGACAGAAAATGCAAGGATTTGAAATGTGGATCAGGGGCTGAGGCTGTGTAAAGAATGTTCCTCTCCTGCTCACTGCTGTACCTCTTGCTGAGATCATCATGGATGGCCTGCTTTACCTCTCGGACCAGTGGTGAATCCTCTGCACAGGGTTTTGTGTTGTGTATGAGCTTGCCATGTACAGGGGCAATCAGACAGTCAGTAGGGTTTTTCTCCTTAGACATCAGAGTTGTGGCATTCTTCATGGGCTTGAGGGCAGTGATGAGATCTTCTGCATTTCAGATGTCAACTTCAGTGAGAGTGGCAAAGTCTGAGTCTGTTTTCCTCACCCGAGGAGAGACCCAGGTGGCTCAGATAGCAGGCTGCTGCTCCAGGAATCTTTCAAGCATGTCATATGCACTATTCGACCTGGTGCACACATCCATCTTCAGCTTGTGAATTTTGAGACCAAGCAAGCTTTGATTCTCCTTCAGCAGATGGCTGGCAGTGGTGCTCCAGTGAAAAAATGAGGTGACCCATCTGACCCTCCCCAGAAGCCTCGTCACTGGGGGCAACTTGAGTGCTTTCTGAGAGGCAAGGCTGAGAGTGTGTGCATAACATTTAACATGTAGGAAGTTTCCCAGCTGAGCAGCAACAACCATATTGGCAGCATTATCTGTAACTAAAACCAAATCTTTGTCCGTGATCTGCCATTCAGCCGCTATTTTGTAAAAGCTCCGCCACATTTGCACCAGTGTGACTTTCATTCATCACTCTTGTCTGAAGCACATGACTGACCAGCTCCCAACAGTTGCTTGATTCATTGATTATGTGTGTCGTCAATGTAACATACAATTCTGTGGCAACTTATGTCCATGTGTCACATGTCAGCGCAACCCGACAACCTTTTGTCAGTGACTCCAATACTTTTGCTTTGGTGTCTTCGTACAGTTCTGGAACAGCTTTCTGTGCAGCATATTTTCTATCTGGGAGTTGGTACCTGGGCTCCAGCCTCCGCATCAGAGCAGGAAAGCCCTGGTTGTTGACGACAGCGTAAGGACGTAAATCCTTTGCGATGAAAGTTGCAATTGTGGATGAAATTCGTCTTGCACTTTCGGGGTTGCGGGGAAGTTGCAATAATCCTTCTGCTATTGTTGGTAGGTTAGCAGCAGGGACAACCACCGGCTTCTTCTCTTGCTCTGGACGGTGATGTGCAACATGCTGACACATGTTTGTAGCATTGCTATTGTATCTTATTTTTGTTTTACACAACCTGCAAATGGAGTAATCCTTGTCCAGGCACTTTCCATTTTCATGTTTGTAAAAACCAAAACATTTCCAGACGCTTGCTTTTAATCCAGATGGGTAAATCTAACGCTCAGTATCTATTTCTGCCATTGCTGTTTTTTTTCCCCACTGGTCCGTTGCCTAAAGTGTCCGGGCGCGGCATGCACAACTTTCAGTTCCTGCTAAACATTTTAGCAGTTTTTTTGTGGCATTTATTAATCATTTTTGAATGTTTAAAAATTGATTTTGAATTGAAAAATGTCAAAGTGCGATGCGTCGATTGAGTGGTGAATTGGCACACCACTAGTTCCCAGACTCTTTTTCTGTGCAGAATTAAACAGATGACGAGTCTGGCAGGCCAGACTAGTAAGTAGCAGCTATGCTAGAGAAGAGGAGATTCTGTGGTGGCATCATATATGTGATCAGGGGCGGATTAAGGACTGAAGAACATCCGGGGCTTAACACACGCACGCACGCGCGCACACACGCACACGCGCGCGCACGCACACACGTGACACGCACTAGTCAACATCATATATGTCTTGTACCACATAATTTTTAATCTGAAGCTACATATTAAGCATTTTCAGTGCAGAGTATTGTTCCTGTTAGTGTTTAGTGTGAGATGATAGTAAATATTCCCTTTCTTTCTCCAACAACTTTACCTGATAGTAAGCTAACTTTAGGCAAACCAGCAGCACAACAAATATTTTCAAATAAGACTCACAAACCTGAGTCAGCACCAGTCTCATCAAAGCTGGGGTTCTGTCGCCATACTTTTGGTCTAAAAAACATCCTTATGTCCATATTCACTCATGCGTTTCAGGCAGAGAGTGTAGAAGAAACCGGCTGCTGAAGGGCTTCTTCTTCAGTGGTGGAGGCTCAGGCAGGCTGTATACAAACTACTGCCAGCTGCTCCCTCTCTGTTGGACTTTGGTACTGCATGTTAGTCTAATGAGCTTTGAAAGAAACAGACGTACTGCATGTTACTTCCGCGATTTAGATCCGGGGCTTCCTATGAAACATCCGGGGCTTCAGCCCAAGTAGCCGGGCCTAACGCCGCCCCTGTATGTGATGTGCCGATGTCTGGTTTGTAGTCATGCTAATTGCAAACTTTTACAAGCTGATAAATCTTAAAGTACGTGAGTGGCATGGTCGAAACACGCATCAATACTTTTAATTTGAATTGAAGTACAATCTTTGTGTGATCCAGGGTCTAAGGCAAAGCGGATTTAGCCCCATTGACTTGCATTAATTTTTTCGTTCTTCCGAGGACCCATGAGCCGACTGGAAAAGGAGGTCACTTAGGTTCCCTATAAAAAATAAATACAATTGTTTATTAAGATATGAGTGAAAAAAATGTGATTTATGACTGTAAAGTTAGAAAAAAGTGGTATTTATAGTTTTCTACATCTTCCTTGTACCATCAGCTACACTTAAAGACACAAAAGCTGTCTCTGTATTCTTCAGATAAAACACCAATTTGGTAATAACCACATTTGATTAATTAAAAGCTGCATGTTTGTGTGGTATGTGCTTTGAACCTCAATGAACAATGCAAATTAAGGGTACCCAGAAAACATCAGAACTGATTTCTAATTGAAAGCATTTACATATCAAAGAGTTTACATTCGATTGCTGACAGCAATTGAACAATCAACCTTTGGCATAATTATGTTGATCTGAAGTGTTGAGGTTAAGAGGCAGATCAAATACAATTAGGCTGTGGTTGATATGACTGTTATAAATATCCCACAGTGTGGAAGAGCAAGACTTTGATGGCAAAACTAGTGCAAGAAAAATGAATTTTTGTTCTTTTTTCTCTTTATTTGTCTTATATTGTACCAAAATATTTATTTGATCTCTTTTCTATTATTCATGCAATTTTCTCTTCATTCATTCAGTGTTTGAACAGTGAGTCAGTTATGATTTAAAATCTTTGGGAGTTTTAGATCAAAGCCTGTCCCGAAGTTGTAGAAATACAGTAGAATAAATTTAGACAAGCTCAAGCAGCATCATTTTAAAACAAATGAAGCCAGTAATTGGCACAATTAAGTCTTTATTTCCAATAAACTAAACTCAAAACTTTAGATCTTAAAGGCTTACCACCTTTAAGAAGAGAAAAAATACCCAATTTGGGGCAATTTAGAAGTCAACATGCAGTGCAAAAGGGCCTTTATTTATTTATTACAGCAAGAAATCAATACTGTCTGAAAGTATTTTAATGCAAGGTCATTGTTGCTGCAGTGTCCATTGTTTTAGAAGCAGCATAAAAGAGAATTTGTTAATGGGGCAAAACTTGCCGTGGAGCAGCTTTCATCAGCATGTGCTTAAGCTGCAAATGGAGTTTAAAGGAGCCTCAAGTGATTTGTTTTTTTTCATCCCCTTATAATTGGGTGACTTAAAGACAAAAGAACAATCAAAATCAAAGCAGCTTAGAAATCTCTAGCTGGGATTTCCAATGTTGAATCCTTCATTTCCAAAAATGCTGCTTAGTTACATCTTTTATAAGGGGCCATGTGCAAAGATCACATATTCAGTATCTTACCTGCAAACCTTTCGAGTTGGACTATCATGCTTCTTTATGGGAAGCATTGGGTCTGGGAATTCTTCTATTCAAATTTAATGTCGAAAAGGGTCAATTTTCACCTATATATACACAAACATAATAACCTTTCATCTACAGAAATAAATCCACTTTCAGTGGCCTTCCAAAACCAGAAGGTTCTGCTCAGTGCTTGTTTACATACAAGAACGACATAACAAAACTGTCAAGTTCTCCAGCACTCTCTGCGTGAAAGCCAGACGTCAAGAGTCTTTCACCCTGAATAAGTGAAGACTCCATGATTTTACAACTTATAAGTGAATAATCATATGTGATGAATGAACAAGATGTTTAAATGAAATGTTTGAATAACCTGTGCTTAAATCAATTAATTTGAAATGAATATTGCTCTTACAGTGATCCATTTATATCACAAATCACTATGTGTTGGATTTAACAAGTTAATCATTGTTTACACTCATACACATTGCAAAAAGATATTCATTAATGTTAATATGCACCTCACATAAGAGCTTTAAAGATTATTATTCACAGTGTTAAAACCCTTTTGTATCTGAAGGAAGGTGTGGCTTTCTGAGGGATGTTGGTTAATACTCAAAAATATGTCAAATTCTGACTGGCCAAACTTGGCCAGAAATCCTAACAAAGTAGTTTAATAAAACACGAATTACTTCCGAGTAATTCAGTTTCTTGCTCACCCTCGAACCGGCCAATTCGGGAAAGAAGCATTTTTGAAACCATCTTCTTTGACCTCCTGTCAAAGCCTCTCTGCAACGCTGCGGCCAATACCAGACAACCGGCTCTTCTAAGAGCCAAGCAAACATCAACCTAAGATTCAAATAAGCATTCCAGCTTCCTGCCTTCACCTCAAGGGATCTCAGACTGGACGGGTCCTATCAGAACTGTCTACAAATTATTTTACACCCAGATTCCACAATTTCTCTCAGATACAAAGAACGGTTGTTACAACATCCAGCTTCCATCATAACACCTCACATCCACTACATCACATCTCATTATTCATATCTTGTAATGTATAAATGTTAGTTTAGGAAAAATAATTAAATTCATTTTATAAACTATATACTGACTCTGTCTGATTTAATACGAAGTATGCTTATGGTCACTGAAGAAGGCTCAGGGGGAGAGAGGTTCAGAGTCTGGGAGCCATAGCAGCAGATGATCTGTCACCTTTGACCTTTAGCCTGGTGCTGCACAACCAGTAGGCTTTGGTCACTGGACCTCAGGGACCTGCTGGGGGTGTAGGGACTAAGAAGATCACCAATGTAAGATGGTGCTTGTCCATGTAAGGCCCTATAGACCAGAACCAGGATCTTGAAATGAACCCTGAAGTTTACTGGCAGCCAGTGAAGCTGGAGGAGAAGCGGGGTGATGTGGGTGTGTTTGGAGAACTTGGTCAGAAGTATGCATGTGCTGGCGCATGGTCAGGATGGTACCACCTCTGCCTCAATGTGAGCCAGGAAAAACCCTGATGTTGTTGCAATGACTCACCATGTACTCCTTTATTAACTTCTCATTGTCCTCGTTTAGGTAGGTGCACAAGGACTTCAAGATGCATGCTCGTCTGGTGTGTATGTTGTCATGCTGGAGAGGAGGAGAAGGTTCTATGAGCCAAAACCATGTTGTTGTTCTTGAAGCAAGGGTGATCAGTTCAACTAGCATAATTGATCTTTAGGTTAGAAATTAGCAAGGTGATGTACCATTTGTTAAGCAGAAACAAAATGGACAACTTCATCACCATATGAAAGTTATTTTGCTGTCTATTATACTGCTGTCTATGACAAAGTCTACTCAATTCTAATACAAACCTTAGAGATGGCAAGCATGTGACCTCTTATTTTCTTTCCAAGTGTCCCTCCTTTGCACCGAAAGAGATCCATCAAGCGTGGCGTGTGTTGGTCAAGCCCTGCAAAGAAAGTAGATAGCAGAGGCTTTGTGGTGATTCGCATAAACTCCTTGTCTATCTGTAATAGAGAACAAATAAATGTATTAAAAACTTTACTGTATATTTCGCTAAATTCACATCCAAGCTAATTAATGATGACTAAACAGCAAATGCACAAATGTCTCTTCAATGTAGTCATGAAAAAGCTGATCACAGTACCTCTATAAAAGCAGAGGTTTTGATTCATTGGATTCAAGTGTTAACCAAATGTCATCTGAGGTTGTATTTACAACATTTTAGGACCAGTTAGGACCTGGACGATTCTTATATCCTGATGCATAAAACCGAAGAAATGAAAGGGTATTTACTTTTTCTCAATTCCAAAGGAAGCAGCTTTCTTTGCGGTGTAACTACTGTATGGTAAAGAAAACAGACAAAATTATTTTATAAAAACTTCCACAGTGTTAATTTCTTCTTACTTTTCTGCAAATGTATATTACTAACACATGCACATCCATGCACATGAATAAAAATGCAAATATACATAAATACTTCTTGCAATATAAAATTCACAGATAAATATCCAATCTGCTGCCAAATGTTATAGTAGTGTTTCAAACCATGCAATAAAAATGGTGGTAGTTGCTGTAAAGGTTCATGTGCTCTTCATAACTCTGTCACTGGGTTTTCCTCTGACCTATTCATGCTTTTATTCCCATGAGCACTCATGTCACTTTGAAGTATGCAGCCCCTGAATTTGGACACAGCTAATGTTTAGCAACTCGAGCTTGCTACAGTTTAACTTACATCAACGCGATATGCAAAGGCTCATAAAAAAATTAAAAGAAAGAAAGACCACAATGGCTTGCAGTAACCATAATTTAAAAGCAATGTTACGGCTAACAGAGCAAGGTTACAGTACGAGACAGCCATGGTTTATGTTAGCTAACTTCATTTACTGTGGAAAAGTGATTTACAAACGTTAATATTTTACTAAACATCTCAATATCTGCTCAAAACACTACTCAAAACTAACTACAGAAATGGGTTAACAAGAAAAAAATGAAAAGCAATCAAGTGGTAATGCAAAGAATGACATGAACAGCTGGAGCGCATTAGAAACCAAGTATTAGACGGTGCCAGTTGGTACCGTCTAATACCTGGTTTCCTCTGCATGCGGTCCGGTCTGCTTTGCCGTTTAATTTCCAATGCAGACTTGAATAGGAAAATGTGAAAAATGACTGACCAACGTTACTAACTTAGTTTGACTAATACATTTTCACACATTCAGTGTAATGAGGAAGTGACCGCAGAGGGAAACAGCAGTTCACTGATCACAAAACTTCCGTGTTCCCGCTTCTTAGCTTCCGGGAAGTTTGAGCATGTGCACTAGATATCAGTGTGAGTTGTTGATTCGAAGTATTTACACTTCATTGGACTGAAGAATGCCAGTCTTGTTCATTAAACGTTTTATTTTATGTTAAACCAATAAGTTATAATGATTTAAAAACATAAACATGATATGTTCATGTTAAATAGACACATTTCTATTAAACCAATCAAACAAATGCCTTAGTTGACTTTTTTGGGTGCAGAGGTTATTATGTCATTTCTTTCTTTCACAGCTAAAGTTGAAATAAAAATGATGAACAAAGTGAACTTGATGTGAAAATTCAGAGACGTGTCTCCAAATGTAGACGAATGTATATGGTAAAGCGTTCAAACGGTAACTGATGCTTTTTGAACGTTTTTTCCCTGATGTTGAAACGACTGCTGTTATTTTGACTTTGATCTGGTGCGATACAGACAGCTCTCAGCCCCCCTCTGAGAATCTCCAAGGTTAGTTCACACACACATCCTCCATGCAAAGGCACCAATTTTTTAAATAAAGTTAGTTTCTCCGGTGTTTCAGCCTTAAGCCATTTCTACCTTTGAAAGGTTTTCAGGTCTGTCAGGAATATTAAGGCTGTTCAGAGCTTTTGCATTAAAAAAATAGGGTTGTTTGAAGTAGTGAATAGAAATTTAGCGTGAGCCTATGGGGATGAGTACAAAATAGAAAAGTAAATTAGACAGGAAATGAACTCAGTTTTATTAAACTGAATGAGAATAAAATGATTTTTTTCTACCACCACTACAACTCATAAACCAATGATAATTTTTAACATTTAAACTAACATAAAAAACATCCACTGATTTATGAAGCCATACTGATGATGATGATGATGATGCGACATGGATGGAAACCCAGACCACCCAACAATTTAAGTTGGCATGCAAGCAAACATACCTGTTTCTTTTTTTTTAAAGATGACAATTTAAGCTGCCAAAGTGTTTCTGAATGTACGGTACACCACAATTCAAAGTTAAACTGTGTTTTTTTTTCTCACACACACATTAGGGTTATTGATTGATGTGGATGAAGGTGTGTGTGTGTGTGTGTGTGTGTGTGTGTGTGTGTGTGTGTGTGTGTGTGTGTATACATGTTTAACTATCCTACTTAGGACCAAAACTGGCATATTCACTAATTTTCTGAAGACCAATGGGCCTGATTAGGACCAAAACCCAGTCCTAATAGGGTGGACCCCCTGTTGGGGGGGGGGGGGGGGGGGGGGGGGGCTTCTCTGGTTACAGTCTCCCTGGGGTCCCTGCACTCTGGGGCAGCTCCTGGATCTCTGGGACTTGGAGCTCCCCCCCATCTTCTACACATCTTTGGGGCAGATCCATACCATACCATACCATACCATTCCGCCTTTATTTATATAGCACTTTAAAAACACAGCCATATGGCTGACCAAAGTGCTGAACAGTCGCACAATAATAGAGATAAAAAACATAAAACAGTACTGTAAAATACAGCCAACAATAAAAAAAAGACAAGCCAACAAAAAAAAAGTACCAATAAAACCAATGAAACCTTACAATGGACGATAAAATAAGAGTAGTATAAGCCAAACTAACAGCTAACTGTTAAATGCAAGGGTAAAATAGTGTGTCTTTAGTCTAGACTTAAAATCTGCCAAGGTGGATGCCAGTCAAACTGTGACTGGAAGTTCGTTCCACAGTTTAGAACCCGCAACAGAGAAAGCTCTTTGTCCACATGATTTGTAACACGCTTTCGGGACCTCGAGGAGCAACAGGCTGGAGGACCTGAGTGTGCGGCCAGGAGTATAAATTAAACGAAGATCAGATAAGTACACAGGGGCAAGACCATGGAGGGATTTGAAAACAAATAGTAGCAGTTTATATTGGACCCTGAAAGTGATGGGCAACCAATGAAGGGATTTGAGAACTGGTGTTATATGCTGGCAATTGTCAGTATGTGTTAGGAATCTAGCAGCTATGTTTTGAACGAGTTGAAGTCGGGCAAGGGTTGACTTATTGACACCCAGCAAAACTGCATTTGAGTAGTCGAGCCTAGATGAGATAAAGGCATGAACAACTGACCCACCTCACCCCTGCCATGTGGACCTCAACGGATAAACCATCAATCCTGCTCAATGGTCAACTTTCTTTGCGGGGTCACCCATAAAGACAGTGGGAGGGTTGAACAAATCAGCTGTGTTCACAATCTAAAACAAACAGGAAACACGCTGGAAGCAGGTTCGAGCACCAGGCACGTCAGGTCTACTCTACTAAGACTAACAGGGAACAGACAGGCACTTTGAAGTTGCAAGTGCAGTGTCCTGGCCACAGAGGGGTCTAAGGGACATTTCATTAAAGTAAGTACCGTCTGCTGACTGCTGGTTGTGGCCCCCTGGGGCGATCCTCTGCGCCTCTCGAGGGGAGCGGGGGCTTTTCTAGTCGCAGTCTCCCTGGAGTTCCTGTGCTCTGGGGCAACTCCTGGATCTCTGGGACTTGGAGCGCCCTCCGTCTCCTGCACATCTTTAGGGGGCAGATCTGTGGCCCCTCTCACTCTCTATTGGACGCTCCTATAGAGAAACCTTACATAAAGAAACGCGTGTACACACACAGGTGCTCACATGGTGCTCTCATGCAGTTTTAAGGCTATGGTGGGCACTTAATGCACTGTGATATATTATTGTGTGATTGTTCAGTTAAACAATGTTGATTATATATTTCTTCATCAAGTTGACGCAGTGATAGCTTGATCTTGTTGTATTGTTGTTGTGTCCCATTTTTTTTTCTTTTTTTTCTTCGCTCTTTCTGCAGGTCTAGAAGCAGACTCTTGTTCATTATTTTTATTTTTGTGGAACACCCCCCACCCCCCCATCTTTTGTCTCTTCCTTTCTCTTTCACCTCTGTCTCCATGTCTGGTCGGAATAAGAAAGCATTCAAAAACAATAACAATAAAGATTTAAGTATCAGGCGTGACATTAAAAGCCGAAGCGTTGATGCTCCGCCTGAGAGTAAATCTGTAAGGCTTGTCACCAGCAGTCAGACATCAATTCTGTTTGCTTCACAGCCAGACAGGACAAACACACACAAAAAAAAGTAAGTACCGTATTTTCCGGACTATAAGTCACACTTTTTTCATAGTCTGGCTTGTCCTGCGACTTATATACCAAAGTGACTTATATACCAAATTATGTAGGCTATTCCGCGCTGCTGTGGGTCGGCTCTGGACCAGGAATGAGTCCCCCTGCCCCGCTGGGAATAAAAAACACACAGCTATCACCTGCTGGAGCCTGTTGCGCGCCGTTGCACACTGGATCCAGCCCAGGTTTCAGCTCCTCTGCCCCGCCATCACCTGCTGCGGCCTGTGGCGCGCTGCTGCGGGCCGGCTCCAACCAAGGAATGAGCTCCCCTGTCCCGCTGAGAGGGTTTCAAACACCGCCATCACCTGCTGCAGCCTGTGGCAGAGTGCTGCGGGCTGGCTCCGGCCCAGGAATGAGCTCTCCCCGCCCCCTGGGAGGGTTTGAAACACCGCCATCCTCTGCTGGAGACTGTGGCTCGTTGCTGTGCCCTGGTTGTTTATTCTGTTATTGTTACCGGTACTTGTTTGGCAATGTGACATGCTTGGTCTCAGATTTTGTAAGAAAAATGATAAAATTTCCTTCAAAATGTGATTTATAGTCCAGTGCGACTTAATGTTTTTTTCTTCTTCGTTATACATTTTATGGCTGGTGCGACTTATACTCCAGAGCGACTTATACTCCAGAAAATACAGTAAGTAAATTTAATTTATATAGCACTTATCACAGACAGAAGATCACAAAGTACTTCACATAGATCAAACAAAACAAAGTCATAAAATCATAATGATAAAAACAAGGTCATAAAATTATAAAATAACATAAAACAAATGAAAGATGATTACAAATTTTATTTAAAAATAAGAAAATAGAATATTTAGGTAAAATGAGCTTTAAATAAAAGGGTCTTCAGCTGTCTTTTAACCATGTAAAGGTTAATTTACGACAGTGGCACAGGAGTTAACTGCTTGCCCTGT